TATACAGTGCGCAGTAGAAATACCTTCTACATAATGGTAAGACATTAGTGGCAATGGTGTCTTCATCTAGCTAATGTCTTATTATGTGGGAGGTATATTTGCCACACACTATTTTGAAATAGTTGCTTATTCATTGACAAAAATGTGCTTAATGTTAAACAGTCTTTTCAAGATTTTTGCAAAATATTACTTGTGAAATATTTTCCACTTCTACTTTGCTATCTTATTGTGTTAACTATTTCTACTTAACATCAGAAAGAGACAGCTGAAATTTCTGGGGCACATAATGAGGAAAGAGGGCTTAGAAAATTTGATACTCACAGGATAGATTGATGGTGAGAGAGACAGAGGAAAGCAACACATAACGTATCTGGTGAGCTTGAGTGAATGGATGGCAGAAAAGGGTTTGGGAGAAATGGCCAAGAAACAAGAGTTATTAAGAGCTACAAAAGACAAGAAATTGTGGAGAGCCATGATTACCAATGCACTGAAGGGACATGGCACACAGAAGATTCTTCATTTTTATATATTCAAGCTATGGAAAAACAAGAGATATAGCTACGAATTGGGTTTGATAAATATCATTCTAACTTATTCAAAATATAAACAGATCCATTAGACGTATAACAGGATTGTAGTGTCAATGTTTTGGGAGCATACAGAAGCCACCATATACACTATAGATGGATAAAATTCAGTGTATGAATGTAGATATCTTTAAAGTATATTCCATTATTTAAGTAATATAACACATTAATTCAAACTATACTTTCGGAGTAACATAATTTAGGTAGACATAAAACAATCAACAAGGTATCTACACCATCTAGATCACTGATACAGACTGTTTTAGAAAGATACAAGGTAATCATATACAGTATGCAGTAAATATACCTCCCACATAAGACATTAGCTAAATAAAGTCACCATTGCCACTCATGTCTTACCATTATGTGGGAGGTATTTTTGCTGCACCCTGTATAAATAAGAAAAAGGGAAAAAAATAGAGGCAATGTCTCATTTTACAATTAAAATGGCTAAACATAACTATAAGTTCTATGCTAACTGCTTTTTCTCACACTTCTCATTTGTGAACTATTCTAGCTTCTTGCTTTTCAGTCAACTTTAATTTTCAAAAATTTAAATGCAATGTCAATCATTGTCTTCTGAATTCCTGTTCTTTTATTGTTCTCTCTCTTTAACAATTTTTCCCTCATTAAGGAACAATAACCGAGAATAGGTTTATGGCTTGAGGGAAGGAGGGATTCATTCAGAAAAAAAACAAAAACTATGCATAAATGAAGGAGATTGCACTGGATATCAGAATCTGATTTATTGATCTCATTGTTAGTGAGGTATCATAAGGTGGAACTCGCTGGTACACAATGTGTGAGGGATCTGAGTTCTTTTCTGAAAACTGATTGTTAAAAAACCTCATATAAATGAATGAATCTATAGTGTTAATTTGTCCAAGTAAATACTGCTTGCTATGAGAATTAAGGAACATAATGTTTGTCATTCAATATCTCAATGGAATGATGAATGTTTATTATTTGGTTGAGCTAGCTTGGACATTCAGGAGCCTAACACACCAACCATCATGGTCCTGCATCAAAGTTAGAATGTCATTAGGGTGGCATTCTGTGTCACAACATAGCTGGTTAATGTAGGTTACTGCAGGGTGACCAACATGTCTTGCTTCAGGGTTAGGTGTCCAGGGCAGTAGATCACTCGTGTTCTTGTTTTACTCACCAGTAGTGTCCCGCAAAGCATATTCTGCATTCGTGTAAAATTGTAGAAATATCAGATGGGTCCATAAAGCTCTGATTAAGTTAGAAGTTATCTCCAAGTGGTGTTAAATATAGCTCTCAACATCTGAGTGTAGGTTCCATCAAGCTTAGACGCTAGGGTTTTAGTTAATGTCCAAGCTGCTATCAATGAATGTAAACATGTCCAATGATGACAAATTGGAGACTGGGGGTTGGAAGAAAAAAAAAAAGGCACCAAATTATAATTTTGCTGTTTATTTTTCAAAGCAAAATCCATCTGACAGAAAAAAGAGAGGAGGAAAGAGTAAACCATCAACATGGCATCAGTCCAGATTACTAAAATAAGAGAAAGAAAAAACAATATGGCCAGTAGATGGACAAGATGTTGGGGGGGTGCATAATAACAAGTTGTCTTACGTTTGATTATCTCTTAATGTAGCTGATTATTTTTGCTGACTATCATTTATCTATACTGTACTTTAGTGATTCAAGTACTAACATGACCGGATAATGATACATTGCCAATAAGAAAGTTCAAGTTTTAATGTTTTGATCAGTAAGAAAATTTCTGAACATTTTATGCCATCAACAAAATATAGGAAAAAAAAGAAAAAGAAAAAAAAGCAAAACATTTTTTCAACATTTTTTTTTAATTTCTTGAATTCTCTTATCAGCAAATGAAAGGTTCTTTCACATTATTATTATTAATTTTTGTTTTAAATGGTATCCTTTTAGAATCTCTAATCATTCAAGAGGTTTTACAGGAAGCAGAAAAGGTGTTAACCAGGTAAGGCCCATGCTATAAAACTTTTCAACCCAAATGCGAGTTTTTTTTTTTTTTTTTGTCAAGGGTCAAATCATGTAACATTCTGCCTGGCTGGCACTGTGCAACAAGTGAATTTAAAACAAATTATTCAGTGAATACAAATACTTAATCAAAAGGATTTTTCTCCCTGAAAAGCTATTGTATTAACTGCAATAATTACCTAAAACAAATGTTTATATTATTCAGTAATAATAAGATAAAGAACAAATAAGCAACATTTATCAATCTAACATATTTCCCTTTTAAAACTTCATCAGAGAATGAAAACTTGGTCTTCTTGAAACTTTGAAGTGATGTGTTATCTCTCTTTGAATTCAGAACACTATAAATTATACTAACAAGTTGAATACATGTGAAAACTGATTAACCAATGAAAATCAAACACAAAAGTAAAAATACCAGAATTTCTTTTTCTTTATCTCATTCTCTAATGAAGCTTTAATAAAAGTGAAACATTACATTTATAAACATTTCCTATTTGTTCTTTATCTGTCAGATCCCAATCTGCATGCAATCTGTGGAGTTAAGCTTCAAGATAGGACATCTAATGTAGACCTGTTTAACAGGTGTAATATTGGAGGAATCAAGACTTATCATACAGTCTCAGTTACGGTGGACTGGTCATGTCTTGAGAATGTCTGATGACAGGATACCCAAGATCCTAATATACAGCCAGTTAGATCAGAGCTACAGGAATGTAGGACGCCCATGGCTAAGATACAAAGATAAGCTGAAAAGCTACTTGTCAGCAGTCAATATACCACATAACACCCTTGAGCACTTAGCTTTGGAGCAGGTAGAATGGAGATCAACGTGTTTTTGTGAAATTAGCAATTTTCAATCTGCTTGTCTGAATCATCAAGACGCGAGAGCTAGATCTAAAAGGTCAGCCAATCTAATAGTGATCTCATTTCACAATCCTCACACTTGCCCCATATGTGGCCTCCTTTGTAAATTGCTAGCAGGTCTTAAATGCCACTTAAGATTATCGCACAAACTTTCATAACTGAATCAATAAGCTGTCAGATCCTCATGCGTTGAAACCACCGGGAGAGTCCATATATATAATATATATTTATAATATATATATATATATATATATATATATATATATATATATATTCAATATGTATTTGATCCCAACTCATCATTCACTAAATAACATGTTTTAGAATTATCTTTTAATTTATTTTTCTAATAGAAATTTACCACCAATCTAAAATTCTAAGATTGTGAGGCAAATATTTTTGTTGTAAATTATTTTATATGTACATGTTTCAAGCCACTCCAGACACTGCTCAAATGACTGAATTTTGTCCAAACAGGTCACTAATATTATCTTACAAGATAAATGGATGCCTACTACTACAGACTTTAATCAAAGCAGACAGCCTTTTTAGCAAATCACTATTGTAGATAAAAGTTGCAAAGTTTAATTATTAAAAATTGCAGTGACATTAAAAATTAAGCAAGAAATCTTAAAGTGCCAATGATAGTTTTTAAAATCCTAGCAGGATTTTATTAAAAACTTTTTAAACTTGAAATCAATAGTGTAATAATTTCAGTAAGAAAAATCAATTTAATGAAGAGAAAAAAAAAACTTGAATGGCTATGATTATAAAAATTGTTAATTAACAGAAAAATTTATATTAGAAACAAAGAAAAGCATAATGAACTGTTATGTAATATGTTTTTCCTACATTTCTGTGAATACGGGAGGCAACAGAGTTGTGGTTCTACAGAAGGATGCTGAGAATATCAGAGACAGAACATGTGAGTAATAAGTTTAAAAAAAGAAAAAAGAAACTAAACAGTGGACACTTAGAATCAGAAAGAGACAATGGAAATTTCTGAGCCACACAATAAAGAAAGGGGGCTTGAATTTGACATTCATAGGACATATTCAAGGTGAGCTGGACAGAGGGAAAGAACAAGTAATATAATGAACATGTACAAATGAATGGTAGAACATGAACTGGGAGAGATAGTAAAGGGACAAATATTACGCAGAGCTACAAAGGATAGGAAGTTGTGGAGAGATATGACCAGCTGTGTCCTGAAGAAACATAGTACACAGAAAATGACTATGGTAAAAATCATAAGAATGACAGTGGTAAATATTTGGATAATGAATAAACTATGCAGTATCAAGAAAATTGATTGATTTTTTTTTTTACAGTTTATAACCTTTTCTAGTCAGAAGATATTTTTAGATTGTAAGAATGTTTTGGAGATAATGATTTACTATTTTCCAATTAACCATAGCTGGAGGAAGGAGAGGGAGTCATGCCTTTCCCAAGGATATTTGCATGTAAGTGAATATAACAAACCCATCTGGAATTGGAACTCTGCTCTCCAATTTCCAATTCTGAGCCATTATCCATCACACCAGCTGCACATTCAAGCTTACAGCACTTGATATTCCCAAGCAGTCACCCATGTAGGTACTGACCAGACTCAACATTGCTTAACTTTGGTGATCTTATGAGAATTAGTGTCTTAATGTGATATGGCCATAAGCCAGCATGAATATGGGTTCAATGGCATAATTAGTCATTTCAAAACTAGCCTATAAGTTTGGGTTTTGATTAATGGACCAATAGGGGTATTTAAAATCAGATAATTTTTTTTTTCTTAATTAGTATAGATGTACCCTTGAGTTCATAAGAATGAAAAGGTTAATAACAAAGACTAAAATTCATCAACCAATACAGTTCATTTACTCAAGAAATTTGATAAAAAATAAAAAAGCCATAAATCTAAAGGCAAAACAGAAAGCAGCAGCAAACCTTCCCATAGTACTATGAGATTAGAATACTTCTCTTTGCCATATTTATTTGCTTAAGTAAATTCATATGAATCTATTGTGTTCACAATGTCAAAAATAAAAAAGAACAAAGCTAACATGTTAAGCATTTTGAAACTCCTATGATATACATATCCTAAGGTCTCTATGACTGTTGAAATAAGTATGCTTCACAGATCTCTTTTAGAAGTTTACTTGGACGTATGTGTCACAAAAAAAAATATGTAAATTAAATAAGATATTCCAAGTTTTTAAAACTGTAGACAATGACATCATAGCATGAAAAGCACACAAATTTCTGTCTGAATTTCTGGGATGAGGAATTAATATTTACACTATTGTGATAACAACAACAAAGGTGAAGAAAATCGTCCACATGTAAATACTGTACGCAGAAATTTGTTTGACAGAAGAAAGATAAGCAAGCAAAGTTAACTGCTAATTTTGTGTTTTTTTTTTTATTAATGGTCAATAAATTGTCACTAATTTTCTATATATTATAGATTTATGATTGAGTTATGTAAAATGGTATAAAGTAAGAAAAACTTAATTTTATGTTTAATTTCAACATCTTGGAAAGCTATGCCCCAGGAAACATTTTAAATGGGACCATATTGTCCCAATAATGCTTTTGTTATATAGGCTGTCTCAAAAGGTTTAAAAAAATCTTGCACTTATTTATTTTCCTCTTAATATATTTAAATATAAACAAGTGAATGGCAACCTCAGGATGCTTCTGTCGCATGATAAAGATGATTTGAGAGCAAACACCCACTCATCTACAATGCAACAGTCAATCATGAAACAACATCAAATATAAATTTAGAAAATTAACTGTAACTAAGCTAAAAGATGGAGAAAAAAAACAAAAAGAACAATTTAAGTGAAATAAATTTATTTAAAAAAAGATCTTTAAAACAGTCCATTGTTGTTTCTCTGCTCATTATAAATACATCAATTTATTTACAGCTTCTATAAACAAATGTGTCACTGTTGAATGCTTTCAGAAATTTCAGAATCAGCAGTGATGTCTTTGTAACCAAGTTTTGAAAATTCTTCCTTTTTCATCAGATTACTGAAAAGAAATAAATGACCATTCCAAACTGAAATCAAAATTAATAAGGGGAAAAAAGATTAGGGGAGAAATTAGCCAAATTTAGTAGTTATTCTTTATATTATATAGATTACGTGTTAAGCATATTGTTTCTGTTCTATACAGAAAGTATAACTTTGTGCATAACTTTAAAAAAATTAGAACCATAAAAAGTCAATTTTTAAAAAAAAAATTATAAAGAATTATTTTTTAGTAATAACAGAAAATAAAAATAAACAAAGAAATTACAGTAAATAAAAATTGAATTAAATATTAAAAAATTACCAAGAATAGCAAAGTATGTTAAAATGTGTAAAAAAAAAAAAAAAAAAAAAAGAAATAGAATTGGTTCCTGGTTTTTCATTAGAAGAATTAAATAGTCCATACAAAAATACTGTTGATATTTCAGAATGTTGAAATGAAAATTAGTATACTAATGAAAACACTCAATTCACACAAAAAAAAAAAAAAAAAAAAAAAAACTTTGGAATCGTTTGAAAACAAAGGCAAGTTTTTCAACTTATTCAGATTATTTTTAGTGCCCAAGAGTTTCAATTGGCACATTATTTGAATATTATTTATAGATTACTTATATCTGTAGATAAATTGCTAATTGATTTGTTTTCTACAGTTTATCAACCCTTTGCAGGTTATTTAAAATCAGAAAATATTTTTAAATTGTAAGTATTTTGCTTTTTGGAGATAATAATGATCTAGTAATCAACTCATGGCTGGTAGGAGAAGAGGTGGATCCATACCTCTCCCAAGGGTTTTTGTGCATAAGTGAATATAATGAACCAAACAAGAATTGGAACTAGGCTCTCCAATTAACACTTCTGAGTCATCATCCATTACACCACCTGCACATCCACGCATACAGGACATGGTATTCCCAAGTGGTCACCCATCTAGGTACTGACCAAGCTTGACATTGCTTAACTTCAGTGATCATATGTGAATCAGTGTTTCAACATGATATAGCATAGTTGTTACCATAGCACTCAGTGAATAGTGCCCAAAACATTTTAGATACCATCTCAATTTTTTAAATTTTCATTCTGCTCCCAATATATGTCAGAATATTAAAAACAATTTTATGAAAAATTTGTAAAATCATATATCCTTTTTACCAATCTGATATCAAAACGTGCTGAGAGAAGGAAGGAGAGACAGAGAATGTGTTGCTTGAAAGGTTAATTGTATTTCAAGGGAAATAACTGAGATTTTTTTTTTTTTTTTTTATACATAATTGACAAATCTGTCGACAATTTTTTTAAAAAAGATCTTTCAAAAATAAAATACTTTTCAGAAACTATTTTGAGGAAAATTAGTCAATTTAAAGTTTAATTAATCCAATTTCAAACAAATATTACTTTTAGTTTAAAATATCACAGAAAAGAATTTTTTAACATGTGGATGGATGTTTTTGTGTAGACAACACTCTTGATAGACTTGTTTGTTAACCTTTTTCAACTGTAACAATTACTTGATGAATATAACATGAACACCTGTTTTATGTAATTTTTTTTTTAACTACCCAGTAACTTGAAAAATTTAAAATATTCTAAGCAATATAATATTTCATTGAGTTTTAGGTACTTTAGCTTTATAGCCTAACTTATAAAGACCCTTTTTGAGGAAATGTTAAAGTTACCAATAAATTTTAAATTTACTATAGTTAACATTCTTCATTTGGACATCTGTTTACAAAAACCAACACATTTATACACACAAAATAAATTCAAAATTCTTTTTAAAATATTGGAGGTTGTTCAATTTTAGTGAGCATTTCCCTTTATGATTAGTAAATAGTCTTAATTTAATGATATCACTTGACGGCTACAATACAGAATTTTAAAAGTTTATAAATTATTCTAACTAAAATTAGAAGAAAAAAAATGAATACAATTTTTGTAAAAATTCATTATTCATCAAAATTTTTTTCTTAAGACAATAGTGTTCATAATATATTTTATACATAAAAGCACTACAAAAAAAGTATTTCTCAAAACCTCACGAAATTAAATAAGTGGGGGTTAACAGATGTACAAAAGAATTTACAAAATTTTCTAAAAATTCATGTGACAAGGTCCTGAAAGTTTAATTAAAATCTGACAATTATCTGATTTTTGCAAGAATTAAAAAAAAAAAAAAAGGACACAAACATTTCCCATAATTTATAGTCACCCACTCACACAAACAAAATTTTTTAACCAAAATTTCAAAGGTGATAAGAAGGATAAAAAAAAATAATTTAATACTCAAGAAAACCTTTAATAAAAAAATTTTGATGATAAAACTATGTTTTTGTTAAGTTTGGGGCATTTTTTTCATTATGCATGCTCAATTTTTAACAAATCTTTGGAGGTATCTGCCATCAATTCATTTTTGCTAATGAACGAGAGGTAATATGGTTTCTTCAGTGCTAAGTTCCATTAACATATTTTCAATTTGTTACAAGAATTCTATGAATAAATACTGTAATAAAAATATTATAACATGTAAATACAATTAATACATCATTGCTAGAGTGTAAAAGATTATGCTTTCTCAAGTGTTTTCTGTTAATTCTATAACATGTTGGCTCCAGTCTACACAGTGAACAAAATATATGCCTCCTGTCAATCTATTTGTAATAAAAATATTATTTATCAAGAGCTGGATCTTTGATAAAATGAGCCACAATTTTACCATCAACAGTACAGAATATAAATTCACTGATATCATTGTGGATAGGTAAGAAAGTCCTTTGTGTAGCATTACAAATAATGCTTTATTAAAGAATTACTGTTATACAAAGATCAATGAAAACTGTTTTACAGGTTATTTTCTCATGATTGATTTGTTTGTTTAATGGCATATCCATTCCTTATGGGTCATTTAATGCTGAAATTTAATTTTTATGGGAGCTTTGAAGTAATAAAAATGTTAATCTGCTTTCACAATTGAGTACATGGTACATGATACTCAGCTTTTGTGCATATACATGTTTGTGTGAACATAATTACTAGAGGTGGTGATGTGTGTGTTTTATGTTGAAGTTATATTTTATGAATACAGTTTGATTTCTTTAAGAAAATGTCAGATACTATATGGATTAATGTAATAAAAGTTCCGTCATGTTGGTTGTTTGGTTGGTTTGTTTAGCACCATATCAAACTCTATGAGTTATTTAATGAATGCTGAAATCTAAAAGATTTTGAACACAATTTTATGCCTTCAACTATAGATAAAATATATTGCTGGTCATTTTTTTTATATAAAAGTTTATTTTTATATTTTCATGGCACTTTGTTTTTGTTTGGGGGTTCACTATTTTCCCATAACTGGGACCCTAACAGATGCTACTACCCAAAGTCAGGGCAGACCTGGTAACAGCAGCAATTAAGTGGTGGTTTCACAATCCTCAAAACCTCCAATCTCCCAATCAAAGGCCTTGCTGCCAGATGTAGTTTACTGTCATACTCAGGACTATCTTCTCATTCAAAATAAGAGAGAAAACAACAAAATATACACATTATCTTAACTAACATTTTATATTATATCATTACGAAATATAAAAACAAATCTGGCAAACATGGATAAACATAAATTCTGTATGCAGACAACAAAACTATGCCAACTTTTCTTCAAAAATGAAAAATTTCCAAGAAAAATGAATGTCATTCAAACAAAGCAAACTATATAAGAAAAATGCACTGTTACTCCAATCATAACCATTTTTGGTTTTATATTAAGTCTAAAATAACAAAATGTCAAGTAGCATCATCTAACAATATTTCAGTAAAAACACTTACACGTGGAGATGTGAAGTAACAATGCATGTAACAATCAAAACTAAAATGCATTTGATTGTTACATGCCTAAAAAATACATAAAATAATCTATGCATTCATGCACTTACTTGTTCATTCGACATTGCAGATATTCCTTTGATTCCTGGCGGCATTTGGTATTTTCACGGTTATTTACATGCAAGCACCTCATGTATTTTATCATAAACTCTTTGCAATGACCTAAAAAACATGAAATTACTAATTAGTGGAGATGTGCGGTGATAATAATTGTAAAATACAAATACATGTGATGAAAATTAGAATTCTCATCATAGTCAAATAAACATGCAGCAATTGCATGTACCATAATGTTGTCTTTTGCTGCTTTGACAAAAATAAATTTAGGAAATGATTTGTGCAAAGTAACAACCAAGATTGTTTGTTTTTTAAGTTAATTATATTTTTTTCCTTTTTGGAAAACAAAATAAAAAAATTTCAGCCATGAATCTATGAAAGAAACTGAGTTTAGATTGCAAATCTTACTTGGTCTTTCTTTTAAATTTAAATAAAGAATTTCCCCAAACTTTATTTTTAGCAACTATTACTAATATATAATAATTTTCTCATAAATTAAAAATAAAATATAACTGAAAGCAATAATTCAACTGGTTAATTTTAATTTCATTTGCAAGTCTAAAGATAAAATTTATTCTTTCTTCTCTTTCCTTAATCAAAGTATTTACAACAACTAGATTTACATAGTGATTTTATAGTGGGTTACTTATGGGGTTCGATTTGGGCCTTATTAGGATTAGCTCACTATAAGAGATGTATGAAGGAGTAAATAAAACGATAAACTACATTTTAAGAGCAATCAAGTCTGGAGTGTAACAATAATGATTTATATAAACATTAATAAGTGGTTTCCATTTGTACAAAAACAGTAGTAATGTTCATAGATGGAACAGGGTTGGTATTTAAGTAAGATGAAATAAAATGTTTTTTTTTATTACATTTCAATGAATACAAGTCTTTGTAAAAGTACTTAAATGGTTTTGAGAGATGCAGGTTTCATTTGGTCATGTCCTGTGAATAAAAAAAAGGAGGTAGAAAGTATGAGAGAAGTAAAAGGAGGGAAAATGATGAGAGGTGTGAGGAATGGTAGTGATTGTTGAAGCCAAGATACCTTTGACGTATCCGCTCACAGTTGTAAGTGTTGGTCTGTGTGTCTCCTGTTTGAATCTCCCTTTTTGTTTTAGACAGGGGTCTATTTATATTGTTAGCAAAGTTGGAAGAAGCTCCAATTAAGTTGTTGATTATTTCAGGCACGCTCATTTCTCATTGGTCAACATATATTTATTTAGGATTGTATCAACTACAACCAGATGTTATGCGTGGAGCCTATTGTGCAAAGCCCAAAATATGTCATTATGTTTTAAGCTATGAAAGAGGTAACTTCCTGTTTCTGCTCTTAGTGCCACTACAATTTAACCATAACACTTACTGAACTAAAATGTCAATGTTTAGTGTTGTTGAAGGAAGCTTATTAAGAACTTGCTTTTATTTATCCATTTTAAGAAAAAGAAAGAAGGGGGATATTTTTCATTTTAAATTAATACTCTAAACAATTTTCACATAAAAAACACCAAATTAACTAGCCCTCTTTATTTTAACTCTCATAACAAAAGTCTGAAATATAATTTAATGTCTCTATATAATTTTTTTTTCAGATAAAATAATTATTAATCTATGAGAAAAGAATCATTGGTTTAAAAAAAAAAAAAAAAATAAAATTGAATATGGGTCTTTCCAAAGTCTGGCTGTGCTTAGTTTCCACCATATCCATGAATTTTTCTTCACAGAAATTAAATAATTCCAGTTTTTCTTTTTGACAAAATAGTTAATTGCAGAGGACATGTAAGGGAGGTAATTCACGGTTTGTATGTGAAATTTGTTTAGAATACAAAAAAAATCAACAATTTTTTGTCTCGTTGGTGCTCATAGTTCTCCACACCTTCTTTATCTGTAAATTGCTATGATTAAGGATCTCCACAGTTTTCATTTCTTTACCCGTGAATTGTTTTTTTTCTTGGGAAAGATTGTAGAATACTGATGATTTCCAGACGCCCACTTCCACGGCTTTGAATTCAGAATTATTGTTTTGGTAAACCAGTAAGCCGTAGCTGGAGAAAAAGATG